CCGATTTGCATCAACGAGTCACTTTCAAGGACCTCGAAGAAAAGGACTCGTCTTCACTTTTCTTGCTTCTTGTGACTCATTCCCTTTCTCTCTTTGCTTCATCCTCCTCCTTTTTCCTGCTTCTCCTTATTGTTCCTCCTACCTCTCCTTTACTGCATCCCTCTCGGTTCATTCTCCTGATTTTCATCCTCTTCTTCTTCTTCTTCCTTCCCTTCATTTGCCACTCCCTCCTTCTCCTCCTCGTTTTCTCTCCCCCTCTTAGTTCTCCTTTATTTTCCCCCTGTTTCGCCTTAGCCACATCTCCTCCTGCTGCCTCTTATTTTCTTCTTCCTCTTGCTTAACTCCTCTTTTTCCACATCCTCGCCCCTTCCTCTTCTCCTTCTCCTTCTTTATCTCCACCTCCTCCTGCTGCTCCATCTTCCTCTACTTTTTTTTCTTCTTACTTGACTACTATTTCCTCCTCTTTCTCACTCATTCCTTCAACTTCCTCGTTAATCTTTGTCTTAATCTTTGCTCCCCTTGCCTCTTCTCTCTTTCACTCTTACTCATCTCCACCATTAAGCTTTGTTCTCGTTTCTCACCAAAAACTCCTTCCCCCTTTCTTTAACCCTTCTTCCTCCTCCTTCCTCCCTTTTAGCTCCTTACTCCTCCCTTCCTTCTCCCTCCTTCTCCTCCCCCGTTACTTTTTACAGATATAATCTTAGATATAATTTTCATACTCTTCCAATTAGTTACTTGATCTCTAAACTGAAGATCTGAAAATGTTCTCATATAAGATATAATCTTAGATATAATTTTCATACTCTTTCAATTAGTTACTTGAAAATCTTCTTATTGTTAACAAGGAAAACGTAAAGGCGTTATTTGCAAAGCACAAGAAAGGATCATTACGAGTGTAATAATCTCAGCATACCGCTAGCCAGCTAAATTAGAACGTGCACAAAAGGTTAATAACACCACCAGCCGCTGTATCCCGGCCACAAGAACTATGAAAAATAAAGACGGTTCTTATGGCAATAATCCTGAGACGAGAGTTCTGAGGTAGTTCGTGATGTGTCCCTTCCCCTTCTTTAGGATCCTCGCTTACCTTCCTCTTCCCCTTCCCTCTTATGGCTTACCTTCAACTCTTTCCCTTGTCTACCTTCCTCTTTCCTCTCCCTCTTCATTTTTTTTCTATTTTCTCTTTCTTTCTTGCTCTTCCTGCTCCTCCCTACTTCTTGTTTTCCTTCTATTATCCATTCCCCTTGTCTGCCCTGCTTCTCCCTCCTCCTCTCCCTTTTCCCAACTCTCTACCTCCCTTTCCCATGCGCTTCCTCCTTCCCTCCCACTTTCTCCCTTTTCCTTACTTCTCTCTCCCTTTTGCTTTCCCTCTCCTCCTCTCCCTTTCTTCCTCTTTTGTTGTTTCACTTTCCCCTTCCTTCTCCCCTTACCTCCCCCACCAACTCTCCCTCTTCCTTTCCCTTCCTCCTCCTTCTCTTCCTTCCCCCTTCTTCCCCTCCTCCTCTCTTCCCTTATAACCCACCTTTCTTCCTACCGCCCTAACCCCCCCCCCTCCACCTCCTTCCCTCCCCAAAGATCGACCAATCCAACAGTCTTCTCTCGTCCCTTGAGTGATATGCAGCACTCATCCTAATATTTTTTCTTGATTCTGTCTTTTGTGCTTTTCGCAAAGGTCAAGAGTGATTTGATTTTATGGGAAAGTAGAAAAAGATGTGTATCTGAGTGAAGTATATATGATAACTGGTTTTATTGAAAAGGGATATAGTGTTCACGCATCTAACAGGAAAACCTAGTCTAATTTATCTCTTATGTAAGGTGTTTTGTGAAATATTACATCAATACCACGTCAATAACAGGGATTCGAAACCATGTATCCGAATCCATATGATCGAACCCATACATTCGGACCTATGTATGTGTCCGAAACCCTATTATAACCTTCAGTCTGTTTCACCTAAGTTAATTTCTGTGTTGTGTGTGTTTTCTCCGCGGGATGCGACGTGAGGTTCTAGAATCAATGATAAATAGATTTTTTTTTTTTTTTTTTTTTTTTTTTTGGGGGGGTGGAATTCGGAAAAATGTATGTGTGTCTGTAAGTCTGTCTGCTTGTTTGTCAGCTTGTCTATCTTTCTGTCTCTGTCTGTTTCTTTGTCTCTCTCTCTCTCTCTCTCTCTCTCTCTCTCTCTCTCTCTCTCTCTCTCTCTCTCTCTCTCTCTCTCTCTCTCTCTCTCTCTCTCTCTCTCTCACACACACACACACACACACACACACACACACACACCACACACACACACACACACACACACACACACACACATATATATATATATATATATATAATATATATATATATATATATATATATATACACACATGTACATACATATATATCAAATTTTGTGTGTGTGTGTGTGTCTGTGTCTGTGTCTGTGTTTGCGCGTCTCCAAGTGTGTGTGCTTGTACGTGCATGTATATGTGCATTGTAGTTATATGTGTGGGGAGTTTTAAGCAATCCCATCTTTATTTGTATCATTCCTATGTGTATGCATGTGTGTGTAGTACATAACGACCATAATGATAAACATCTTAATTTGTTGAATTTTCTGCGTGTCTACATTACCTCTGAAATAATGAAAAAATACCTGCACACTATTTCGTACATTTACCCCCTCCCATTACTGTTAGTCGCTGCAACAATTGTGTGTGTACATGTATATGAAAAATAGAAAATAAAGCAATGAAATTAAATATATACATAAAAAATGTTAATGGGTTTCGAAACTGGAGCCAAACCTTGAAACATGCGAAGGCCATCACGTCCAGGGTTTGAGACGCGCCAAAAGCGGCCAGTGACAGCGAAGAGGAAGGTGTCACCGATGCGTCCTCACAAGGATTTTTTTCCCTTTTTTGTAATTCTTAAGAAAAAAAAATCCTACGAAATGAGAAATGACGTCATGCGATAGCTCTGAGATATTATTTTTCACCCTGAGGAAATGAGAGGAATCCAGTGACCGCCGTCAAATCGTCTGTGCATTTTCTTCCGAATTCCATCCATGTTTATGTTATGATTATGGAGATCACACACGCACACACACATATACATATATGTGTGTGTGTGTGTGAGTGTGTGTGATAGGAACATTTCTATCTGTACAAGTAAGTTAAGAGAAAAGACATCACATATACATACGATCTATAATACCTCACACCGAAATAACAGTGTTCGCCTGTGAAGATCCCGATGAACCCACCAAGCCGACCATAACATTCAGCTCATACTCACGCACTTGCATACGTTTTACACACACGTCGCGAGCACAAGGCGGTGTAATGACCCTCCCGCGATGCACACTCACTTTCCTTCTCATTCTGCGTAGACAATGACTCTTCCGCGAATCGCCCACTTGCACGGGAGCCAGACAGTGGAACGAGACGATTCCCTTCCGCCCACGATGATCCGCCCACGTCTGTCCTCTCCGGCCGCCTGTGGCTTTGACTCGGTGACCGCTCGTTGTGTGGATGTGTAGGTGGTTGGGTGCGTGGAAGAGGTGGAGAGGAGAAAGGGGGGAAGAGAGAAAGTGGAGAGGGAAAGAAAGAGGAGAGATAGGGGGAGAGAAAGAAGAGAAGGAGAGAAGGAAAGAAGAAAGAAAGTAGAGAGAGATAGAGAAGAAAAAGAAGTATGGAAGGGGAAAGTGTTAGAGGGAGAGAAAGATGCGGGAGGAGGGAAAGAGGTGAGAGAAAGAAGGAAGAGAAGGAGAAAGCAATGTAAGAAGAGGAGGAGAGAAGAGGAAAAGAATGAACAAATTGATGTGAGCGGAGGAGACAAAGAGACAAAAATAAGAAGAGAATAAAGGTGAAAAAGAAATGGAAATCATGACGAAGAATTTCATCGTGGAAGAAAGCAGTAATTGAAGAAAATAATAATAAGAAATGATAGAAACAACAGAAAGAAAATTAATTGAGATGACAACATCCTGTAGAAGAACGGAGTAAATTTCAATAATCAAAAGGTCAAAAAACTTGGTAGAAATATATACTTTTTGTATGTATTTTAGGACCGATGGCGTGTAATTGCATTTTTTTCTCTTTCTCTCTCTTTACATTTATTTTATTCTTAACCACAGAACTCATACGAATTATGTGAATAAACACGAAAAAATATGTAAAAAAAAAACTCGCAGTAATATCAAACTAACACTGGTTTAACAATGTAAAGCAACAGAGAACCGCCCCACTGTGTTATAAAATGATGGCCGGCAAGTGTATTAAGTGAGCAAGGATGAGCGAGGATGGGAATCATGAGGAGCAAGTGTCGTTGGCGGATGAGTTATGAGTATGCTCGATGAGTATGCTGGCTGACGAGCGTGGATTGTGTGTGAAAGCGATTAGTGTAAGTGTTATGTGTGTGTGATGGATATGCGTTTAGAGAAAAGGAAGAGGTATAGTATATATATATATATATATATATATATAGATATATATATATATATATATATATATATATAATAATATATATATATATATATATATATATATATATATATATATATATATATGTATATATATATATGTATATATATATATATATATATATATATATATATATATATATATATATATATATATATATATATATATATATTCAGAACATATATATATATATATATATATATATATATATATATATATATATATATATATATATTATATATATGTGTTGTGTGTGTGTGTGTTGTGTGTGTGTGTGTGTGTGTGTGTGTGTGTGTGTGTGTGTGTGTGTGTGTGTGTGTGTGTGTGTGTGTGTATACATATATATATATATATATATATATATATATATATATATATATATATAATATATATATATATGTATATATATATTTATATAACACGTTGTGAATCCGAGCGGCAAATCCCGTTTTCCAAAAGTGATGCCTTATTCCCTTCCCCATCTTCTTTGCCAACACGCCGCTCACCTCCCTCGTGTCTCCCGCCCCCAGGAAGCCCACATGGACCTCTCGGCCCTGACGGAGACCGAGCGGGACGCCATCTTGGCCGTGCTCGAGCGGGACCAGATGCTCCGAAAGCAAGACAAGCAGCGGGTCTAGTGAGTTGACGCTTTTCTTTGGTTGGGTTTTCAGGTTGCTGTTGGGTTTGTCGTGGTGCCTGTGTCTGTGGCTGTGTGTATGTATTTGTATGTGTCCTGTGTATGTCTTTATCTGTATCTGTGTATGTCTGTGTCTTTATCTGTATCTGTGCATATCTGTGTCTGTGTATATGTTGTGTTTTGTGTCTGTGTATGTCTTTATCTGTGTATGTAATTGTGTCTTTATTCCGTGTGTAATGTCTGTGTCTTTGTCTGTGTAAGATCTGTGTCTTTGTCTGTATCTGTGGTAATGTCTTGTCTGTATGCTGTGTATGGCCTATGTCTGTATCTGTATATGTCTGTGTCTGTATCTGTGTGTCTGGTAAAAATCTGTACTGTGTATGTCTGTGTCTGTGTGTCTGTATTGTGTCTGTGGTCTTGCTGTATGTTTGTGTTCTGTATCTTGTGTGTGTAATGTTTGCGTATGTCTATATCTGTATTTGTGTATGTCTGTGTCTGCATCTGTGTATCTCTCTGGTGTATGTGTGTATGTCTTTGTCTTGTCCTGTGTCTGTATCTGTGTATGTATGTGTCTGTGTATGTCTATATCTGTATTTGTGTAATGCCGCCTGTGGTCCGTATCTGTGTATGTCTGTGGGTGTGTATCTGTGTAGCTGTGTGTGTATCTGTGTATGTCTGTGTCTGTATCATGTGTATGTCTGTGTGTGGTAT